CACTTGAGTCGAGGGAGCTTTGCATGTTCTTCTTGTCCTTTCTTTTTCTTTTGTTTTTTTTATCTTTGATCTTTGTTTTTTTCTTTGTTTTCCTCTTTTTTTTCTTTGCTTCTTTTCTTTTTGTTTTGATTGGATCTTCGCACTTGGCATTTGGTTCACCTTTCGGTATTTCATCTGAATCTATGTCTTTACTCACGCGAGCAGATTTCATTCACAATGCCCTTAGTGTGGAGGGTGATCCTTGGTTAGGGTTGAATCAGAAGAAAAATACTATAGGCTCAAAAGGGGACAACAAGGGATATACATATATATATATATGGATAAATGAAACAAAGACGCTCATCATCTCATACACAGGAGTCTTTGCAAAAGAGGTATCCCCAGGTGGATAGATTTTCAGGATTAAATTTTATTCACATGAAAACAAAGTAATTAATGCATGATAGAATTATTTCGAATTATTTTTTTTTGCTTCTTTCTCCCAACATGTCTCAATTGTTCAAGCTCAACTTCAAAAAATTGATGAGAGACGCCCCAAGTTGTGTCTTATGGTAAGAAGGTTCATGTTCCAGTGAACATTTTGTGCTCAATGTCTACAGGTTTTATTGGTAGAAAAAATGTTGGTTTTGCGTCTAAGAAGACAATGGTGTGACTTTATTGGTTCAAATAAAGGTAAGGGTATGACTCTTTGTATCTCTATGAATTATTATGGGTAAAGAATCAAGGTATTTTATTTTGGCTTTGGACAGGATAAGAAAGGTCTAATCTTGTCATATGTCAAAAAATCTATAATTCTTGAAGAATTAAAAGAATCCTTAATTCATTCGATATTCAAAGAAATAAAGATTAAAACTCGTTCAATTATTCCACCTTAGAAGGTAACATAAATTCATTCGTTTAAAAGATCAAACAAATATGAAAGCTAGAACAAAAACGTGTTCAAACAAAATAATGCTCTCAATGAAAATGGTAAATGCAATGCCCCCATTCTTCTTTGATTGTCATTGCCCCTGAATTTATCAGGTTCTAGATCTTGCGCTTCAGTTCCTTACATTTCTCAGAGGAATGTCTGGAGATTTCTATGTGGTGACTGTGCACGAGATTAACATCGTAGTCCTTGGGATATGGGATATGTGCATGACATTAATTCCTTATTTATGTGGAAATGCTTAAAATGAAATGCATATGCAAAATGCAAAGATGCAAAGATGCAAAAATGCAAAAATGTTGATCCCTACGATGAATAACTTAGAATAATTTTCACCAGAAATAAAAGCTTTCACATTACAAGACATTCACTTTACAGACATGCCTTCGATTAGATATTGATTCTGAAGTGGATCGCCGCTTCATCTTGGACCTTCTTCCTTGAAAATACCCCTCAAGTATTCTGTATCCTAACTTTGTTAATGCCCCAGCGGTGCGGAAGTCAGTGCGTCGCTACTTGATAACTAGCGATAAGATGATTGTAGATGAGAATTTACTGCTGGGTTACTCCTTGGATCGATGGATCATCATTTTAGTCTCGAATGTTGCGCAATCTTCGAGCTCACTGCTTCGTCTAGGATCTTCGTATTTGGATCTGATGTCCATCAATGCTCTGTATACTAACTCCGTTAATGCCTCAGTTGTACTGAAGCCAATGCGTTGCTCTTTGGTGATAAGTGATGAGATGATTTTAGATAAGACTCCTCTGTTGTATTACTCCTTGGATCAGTGAATCATCACTTCAGTCTTGACTGTTGCACGATCTTCGACCAAGTCTCATTCTTGTACTCAGAACTTCTTTTAGCCCTTGGTGTATGTCTGTGTATGTGATTGCTTAATTGAAAACTTTTATCTCTTCTTGTGAAGATTTTCTCATGAATATCCCCTTGCTGATCAACACTTTTGCATTATGTTATGACGATGCAATGTAATGCAAAAAATTATGAAATATGATATAGACAAAAGAAAAAATAGGTTAGTGTACACAAACAAAAGAAGTGGAAAATAGTTAGTATAGGTAAGACAATTGATACAGATAAAAGTGTTATTCAAAGATGAATATAACACCTACCCCATCATGATATATACCCGAGCATGCTTTTATTAGATAACATTCCTAACCAAACATTCTATCTACCCACAAAGATGTATTTACAAGAAATTAATCCTAACCACATGGTATCTAGTTCGCATGTTATTATTCAAAAATTAAAGCAAAAGGAAAGGTTCAGAAACGCTCCTCCTTTGTGTATACTTAATTTGGCTACCTACTGACGGACAGAGGCTCGATATGACTATACCTATGTTGACCGTTCTACGGTTCACTATATGTATGGTTTCGACTCTAACGCGGAAAAAAGGTACTCAAATTGTCCTTGATGTCGGTGCCTCCATGGGCTGCCAAACCCTCAATCCTCATCCATTATAGGATTAAACGGATTGAGTTCAATTCGAGGGGATACATTTCCTTATGCCCATATGGAGAATAAATTCACATGAAGACATAAGGTATATGAATCCCGAAGGTTACTTGCTAGACCCATACGGAGAATAAATTCCCACGAAGGTGTCATTTTCACCCCCACTTAAAAGGGTTCAGAGCTCGTATCTAGAGCTCATGTCATGCAATTGCACGTGATGTGTGTGAGGATGAGCGTACTTACCTTCGACTCAAAAGACTGAAAAGAAAACATTCGACAAAAACTTGGAAAGATCTATGAAAGCCAAAATTCAAATGTTAGTATGACAATTAAAAATAAAGCAATTAAAAACTTCAATAAAACGATCATAAGTAACTAAAGAATCGAACTCATAATTTCCACCACAACGACAATGTGTAAACGACCTACAGTCTGACTCTGTAAAAGTCGTCTCCAACGGAGTCGCCAAGCTGTCATAACCATTTTTAGGTGAAACCATTATTTATAGTTTTAAAAAACGATTACGACTTTAATTTGGAAAATTTGGTGATTTTGAATTGATTGAAATAAAATGGAAAAGGGAGTCGCCATCAACCTTTGGGTAGGTAGGTCGAATACCTAAAAACGTCTTTAAAAACAATTTTAAGAAAAATAATTTTTTAAGACAAAATTCGGTCTGCATTACCAAAGATTCATTTAAATGGATTCGGGAGTCGATTACTTGTGGGGAAGGGTAAGCACCCCCACAATGCCCAAAATTGGCACTGTGTCGTTTACACATTGTCGTAAATGGTGGAAATTACAAATCGAATATAAAATTAAAATATGATCTATTTAGAGAACATTGATTAATTTACTTAAATTAAATAATTAGAGAAAATTCTTTAACTTGAAAAGAAATCTCAAAATTAGCAATCCTCCGTCGGGAAAGCTAACTCGAATATTTATTATCAGTTAAAGAATATTCCCTCCTCATTAATATTAAAAAATGTGAATCGAATATAAAATGAAAATCGACATTTGCGTGAAATTAAATTGCTATTTAGTAACATGCATCACATTGTTCAACTTAAATAAAAGAATTAATTAGCAAAATAAAAATCAATTTTATTTTAAATTCACATTTGTTCGAATGTCGTATCAGATTACACCACTTCAATCAAGCGATATTTTCCACGCCCATTTTTACAAATCGTTAGTCTTGAAAATATTCGAGTGAATTTAAAATATTATTGAAGAAAAATAAGTATTTTATAAATCAATAATAATTAATTAAAAAAATAAATATAAATACCAAAGCCAAAAGGAATCACACGTGTAGTAAATTACATACACGGTAGTAACAAGGACCAAAATAAATAAAATAATCATTACATGCCCAAATCACAAGAAAATAAATTTCATTAGTGGCTACAATTAAATAAAGTAAAGTTCATTGCTATATTCGAATAAATGGCGTATCAGAATGTGACTACAATGAAATAAAAAACAAATAAAGTATGACTAAAATAGTGACCAAAATATAAATAATAAAAACCAGCAGAACCATAACAATATGAGAAATGACCGAAATAAAATAAAACAAAACATGTAGCATAAATCGAAACTAATAGATAAAAGATGGAATTAGTGACCAAATATAAATATGCGGCTAACTATGAGGGACGGAAACGAGATTCACCCTATTTTAAACCTGAGCATCTTCTAAACAAACTAAATAAAGGTAAATAGCACATTAGATCCAGAAATTCGAACTAAAGATCAAAACAGCTCAAACCAATTACTAAAAAGCATATACACGGTCTAATAAAAGGGACCTATGTGGTAATTAACCCTAAATATAATATATAGAGCTAAGGCTTTAACAAAATTCACAGAAAAAAAAAAAAGAAAAATTCACCTCTGAATGTTGTATTGATTTCTTGAAAAAATGGGGAGAAAATCCCCTACAATCTGCTGTTTAGTTCTAATCCCCTCTCACATTTTTCGAATCTGAACTCCCCCCACTTCATTGCTTTCTCGTGTGGGTTAAATACCCATTACAAAGAAAAATAAACAATCTATAATAGAGCACTACTAGCATGAGTGGCCAACAAATATTAGTGGTGGCAGCATAATAGAGTTAGTGCTGCATTACTATAATATTAGTGCAGAAACAACAGGGTATGGGCTGGCATTTGGTGGTGTGCTAGCTGTGGTTGGGCAGAGCATTGGCGTGGGGAACAGCAGAGTATGGGCACGAGATGGTTGTTGCAATGCTGGATAAAAAATGGTGTTTACAGAATGCTTGTTACATTTAATTCTAATGAAATAATTGTGGAAATGGACCTTTTCATTTTGGCTGGAACTGAATCTCCAAAATATCAAATTAAATCATGTTGCAAACAGTCAAAAAAACCTACTCTATCCATATCCTCTGAAATTCTGAATAACTACCCCCTATCTTTTTGTTGCGACATATCCAGCTAATCAGATTGCTGTTATACCAATAGCTGGTTTATTTATCTTTCTACATCAGTCATTATATAACTGCTAAATTATGATTAAGAATGTACTGAACAGTTGTTTGTTTTCTGGTTCTTGTATCTTTCTTTCTAAAAAAAATAGTATGTAGCATGTGCAGAAGGTTTGATTCGGGCATACAACATTCATACATATGCGGTTCTTTATACACTACAACGTAAGTCGAGGAAAAAATGAATCCTTTCTTTAATCTATTATATTACTCCTGCACTATACCATATTGCCTTTTCTGTCTTGCTTCCTTCAGTTGATTGTACCATTAAGCTCCTTGGTGCTGGTGCATTTGCTTTTCACCCGATGCTGGAATGGACTTTTGTTGGTGATGGACGTGGTACGCTTCTTGCATGGGACGTATCAACAGAAAGACCTATTATGATTGGAATGTGAGCAACTTTTTCTGTCATTTTTATTTAGTATGCTATTTCATCACCAATTTTCCTTGTTTGCAAGCCTATGTGTTATGTGTGTTGATAAGGTAGAGGAAGAAATTCTAGCCTTTCTAGGCACATTTTTTGAGGTACTATGTTTTTGCCATGAAGTACTCAGGTGGGTTCTCAGCCTATCGCATCAGTTGCTTGGCTTTCACCGCTGGGTTTACTTGTCATTCTTTCCAAAGATGTAACTCTACAAGTTTGGAAAACACGATTGGAAGTTAATCATAATATATTTCCAGCGCAAGTAAATTCCTTTGAGCCTGCTTACGGACAGACTTTCTAGGAAGGGAGTAGGAGGATATACCTATATATTATATATATGTATCCTAATTAAAAATCACATATGCTGGTCTTTAGATGTTTCCTTTGCAGCAATTGAATCATTGGAAATCCCACGCCTTCTTTCTCAGCAGGGTGGGGAAGCAGTTTATCCCCTACCAAGAATCAGAGCTTTTGAAGTTCAATCAAAATTGAACTTAGCAGCTTTGCTTTTCGCAGTTAAGGGCACTCGCCTCACCTATTTCATTGCTATATAAATTGTTTGTTAATTTCTGATGAATAATGTGCATTTTTTGTTACAGAGTATGATCAGTGGCAACAACTTAAAGAATAGAGCTGCTTATGCTAGGGAAGGAAACAGCTCTTTGCTGTTCTGCAAAGTGCCGGGGATCTTCAGGTGGTTGTTTAATTAATCTTCCTACACTTACATTGTTTCATACAGAGAAAGTATTCTATTTTATGTAATTTATTCCAGTTCTATATTCCTTAATATACCTCGATGACAAGTGTGAAGTCATACAGAATGTTATAAAAATGGTTCCGATATAGGATGACGTTTGATTTCTTATTGGAACAAGCTTAAGCAAAGTTAGTAGTTGCACCTTGTTGATGTGATCGAAATAGAATCAAATGTATTATTTCTTGGGTGCTTTTCTTAAAGAATCTATATTCATGTTTTCTTGAGCAGTTGCTCAGTTTTTATGTTGATAATGTTGGTTACATTTCCTAACTTTCCGATTAGAAAAAAAGGAGAGCTGTTTATTCTTTTTAAAAAATTTCTCTTTGCATTATGTTATATTTCTGAAGATCACTATGATTGTTGTTTGTGGTGTTAGTCTACTTAATTCTTTGACTATATCTGCTGAAAAGGTGATAAATGTGCAGCATCTATCTTAAAGGAGAAGCTCTCATCCATGGATTCCTCTGGTATTTTAGCTGATCATCATCTTCAAGTGAAACTGCAAGAACAACACATGAAGGGGTGAGTTAAGTTTCTTCTCTCAAGCAAGTGTACAGGATTTTAATAAGCACTTTGGGGTTTAGGAATCTGGATGCAGATAAACATATTTAGATTGGATGTTGAAATGTTTAATTCGGATTAATGATCACACAAATAGAGGTATTCTTTAGGGTTCTGGATAAATTCCTACCTCGATATGATTCTATTTGATGATACGATCTTAGAATTTTTATTTAATCATGCATCATTCTTGACAATTTATGTATTTCATGACAGCCAAAGTCGTCTTACAATTTCTGACATTGCTCGGAAGGCATTCCTCTATAGTGTATGCTTCTTTCAAATTGATTCATTTCAAATGGTGTTATTTATCTGATATATTATTTTCTAAATTATATGTTAAATACATTTTCAAGAGCTCTTAACTGTTTGATTTGCTTTTTAACTCTTTATCAGTTATTGCAGCATTTCATGGAAGGTCATGCTAAAATTGCCCCTATATCTAGGCTGCCTCTCATCACTATTATGGATTCTAAAAATAAACTGAAGGATATTCCTGTTTTCCAGGTGAATTGGTTCTGCATCAATATCTATGTGCCCTTTAGTTTAACTTTATCTCACCTGGCTGACTTTTATTGGAGCTCAATTTTTTCAACAAGGAGAATCGAGTTCTTCATTACCCTGTCGGGGCTTTTTATGTAGATGGCATGAACATCATGGCTTACAATCTTTGTTCTGGAGCACATAGTGTTTACAAGAAAGTTTGAACATCGGTAAATGCTTAAAGAGATTTTTTAATGCTATAATGAGGTTGTGATCTTAACAATAGATTTTGCTTTCAGTTCCCAGGGAATGTGGAATACTATCCTAAACATATGATTTATGGTAAGAAGCGGAATCTGTTTCTCATTATTTATGAGTTTAGAGGAAGTACAAACGAAGTGGTCCTTTATTGGGAAAATAATGATTTCAAGTTCTCAAACAGAAAAAGGAAGCACAATCCAAGGTATTTTTCTTTGGCTGTTTTACCTGCTATTTTCTCATTGTATATGCCCAAAGATTATTTACTTATGATATTTTCCTTTCGAATATGTAGGATGTGATGCAGCTTTCATCGGTCCCAATGACAATAAATTTGCTATTCTTGATGAATATAACTCCGGAATGGCTCTGTATATTCTTCCTGGTGCAGCTTTACAAGAAGCTAATGACAAAATTGGTGCATATGAACCAAATCTTTTACCTGATGAACCTGTGGATGCAAAAGCTAATTCTGTTCAGGGTCCTATTCCATTTATGTTTGACACAGAAGTCGGTCGTATATTTTCCACTTCTATAGGTGATTGGTGACATTTGTTTCTACATATCGGATGCCATCATTTGTCACACATACTGTGATCAATATCTTATACGATTGTAGAGTCCACTTTGATGTTTGCTTGTAATGGGAAGCAAATTGGTTTGACAAAGTTGTTTCAAGGGTCCTGGCTTCCAAATTCTGATGGTCACTATATATCGACAAAAACAGAAGGGAAAAAGTACGTAAGGTTAAACGCAAATGAGATTGTGCTTCAGGTGTGTAATTCAACTTTTCTGTAGATATGGTCTATAAAACACTTGCATTTTTCGGGGCAAAAGAAAATTTGTTTGTTTGTTGCAACTAAATAGTGAATATGACGTATATGCTTAAGATATTATATTTCCATATATCTAGTATTCTAGTTTGACTGCACGTTTCGTGAAAACAATATGCTAATGGGTATGATTTCTAACAATATATGTTGTTTCAATATCCATAGGTCCATTGGCAACAAACTCTGAGAGGCTATGCTGCTGGAGTATTAACTACTCAAAGAGTGCTTATAGTTTCAGCAGATATTGATGTACTTGCTAGCAATTCCTCTAAATTTGACAAAGGAAATCTGTCATGGTTGGAGGAGAAGGGCGAGAACACGAGGAAGAATTGGGGGAAGAAACGCGAATGTTAGGGATTGAGCAAGAGAAATTAGGGATTAAGACACGTAAGAAAGGGGCTAATGATTTACCTGAAGTGGAGCAGGCTGATTCAGATCAGACGTGGTTGGAGCAGGCCCAAGAAGAATGAGAGCACCCCAAGTCCGCTAGACCAATATCTGCAGAAGAAGACAAATTATTAGGAGTTGTTATATTTTGTTAGAAAGGACAGCCAGCTGGCAATCCTTCGGTAATCTTTGTAACTAAATAAATTGGTTGAGTAAATATTTTCCAGTATGTTATGAATGAACAAGTTTTTCCTTCTCTAAATTCTCTCAAAATTCTCTCTAATCCTATTACCTACTTTTCAATTTCTCTTCTACTTACCTCGAACCATAACAATTGGTAATCAGAGCTACGATTCTGGCAATTTTTTTTGAGGGCATGCCAAAGAAGAACCAATCTATGGCAGATTCTGATTTAGCTGGAATTCATAAACATATTGAAAACCTTGCTGCTTTGGTAAAACAAGGTCAGAACGAGACTAATCCACCTAAATGGGGGGAGACGCAGGAAACAAGGATTACTGCATTGGAGGTAAGGGTGACCACGAATCACAGTTACGTGGAAGATATACTGAAGATCTTAACTCGAAGAAATGGTGAACAAGAACAGTCTGCAGGGGATCAGGTATATACTCTTAATAGTTCTAAAAATGGGGAGAAAAATCCTGTTTTGGTGACTGTAGTTAAGGATAAATCTAGATTTTCTTATAAGACTGATGAACCTGGGATTTTGAAGGATAAGCATGATGCTTGTTTAGCCCTTAAGAACAGTTCTAGGCTTGAGAACCAAATGGGTGACAACAGTAATAATAAACCTGTTATGATGGGATTGGAAACTGAAAATAGGGGACCAGGGGGTTCATTTAGCAGTTCAGGGACTATGTGGCATAGACCCAAAATAGAATTGCAATTTTTTGAGGGGATAAATCCTAGGGGGTGGCTGCAGAAGTGTCTCAAGTATTTTTCCTTATGCAATGTTCCTGTAGATCAAAGGGTAGAAGTGGCTACTATGTATCTTACAGGAAAAGCAGAAATATGGTTTGATGGCTATATTATGCAGAAACATCATGTAAATTGGCATGAGTTTGAAGCTGATTTGTGCCATAGATTCAATGATAGGTCATTTTTTGACATTGTGGAGGAATTCACTAAGCTTACACAGAAAGGATCTGTTGAAGACTATCAAGAAATGTTTGAGGAGTTACAACCACACATGTTGTTACAAAATCCTACCTTGAGTGAGGATTTTTTTGTGTCACTTTTTATAAGTGGACTTAGAGAAGACAACAAGCATAGAGTAAAAGCTCTAGATCCTAAAAATTTATCTAAGGCATGCAAACAAGCTAAGATCTATGAGTTATCTGTGGAGTTTGAAAACAAAAAGTTGAGACCTTCCTTTAAAGTATCTATTGGAGCAGAAACTGACCACCACAATTCAAAAGAAAGGGCTAACTAAATTACTGGGGCTTGATTACTCTATCCAATACAGAAAAGGTAAGTCAAACATGGTGGCAGGTGCTTTGTCTAGGCAATGGGAAGATCATAGTCAACTGTTGGCTATGGGGACTACTTTGATAATTCCTAGTTGGGTGACAAAAGTTGAAGGCAGTTATAAGGATGACAAATTGGCTATTGATTAGATCAATATATTAATTGTGAATGCTACTTCTGATCCTAAATGGAAATTTTCCAGAGAAATACTAAGATTTAAAGGCAGAGTTTACATTGGTCCTATTGGGTCTCTTAGGCTTCAAATTCTGCAAGCATTACATGATTCTCCTCATGGAGGTCATTCAGGAATTCAGGCTACTTATCAGAGGATAAGATCCTATTTTTATTGGCCTGGGCTTAAATCTATGGTAGCCACTTATGCCAGATGTTGTAAAGTTTGTCAACAAACTAAGGTAGAACATGTGCCTAAACTAGGATTGCTACAGCCATTACCTATTCCTCAACAGGCTTGGGAGGTGGTTACTATGGATTTTATTGATGGCTTGCCTACTTCATTAAGGAAAAACTGTATATTGGTGGTGGTAGATAAGTTTACAAAGTACAACCATTTTATGGCATTGTCCCACCCCTACACTGTAGCTGAGGTAGCTAAGTTGTATTTGGATAATGTCTACAAGCTACATGGTCAGCCTAAACTAGCTATTTCAGATAGGGACAAGACATTCACTAGTCTCTTTTGGAGTGAACTAATGAAGCAGCTTGGCACTACTACACTATTCAGCACTACTTACCATCCTGAGACTGATGGTCAAACAAAAAGGGTGAATCAATGCCTTGAGCAGTATCTCAGAGGGCTGTGTTTTTTTCAACCAAAGCAATAGGTTAAATGGTTGCCATATGCTGAATGGTGGTACAATACTACCTATCATACATCACTAAACCTAACACCTTTTCAAGCTCTATATGGCTATAAGCCTCCTAAAATGGTTTGGCAGACTGAAACAACAGTACAATCTGTTGGGGAACTAAAGAGGAGCAGGGAAGAGGCCAGGCAGATTGTGAAACAACAATTAGAAAATGCTACAAACAGAATGAAACAGCAGGAAAATAAAAAATGATCTGAACGAAACTTTGTAATAGGGGATTGGGTTTACCTAAAACTACAACCGTATCGTCAAACATCCCTTGCCCTGAGGAAGAATCTGAAGTTAGCAGCCAAATTTTACGGGCCTTACAAAAACTTAGAAAGAATTGGGGAAGTGGCATATAAACTTGACTTACTTGAATCGTCTCGATTATACCCTGTCTTCCATGTCAGTCTGTTGAAGAAGCATATTGGCACTACAGTAATAGCCTCAACAGCGCCTCCTGTGGTAGATAAAGTGGGTCAGTTTCGCATAGAGCCAAGTAAAATTTTGGGAAGAAGAATTGTCAATCGTAATAATCGACCAGTTACTCAATTGTTGGTGAGATGGACTAACCTCGATGACTCGAACGACACTTGAGAGGATTACTCTGTTCTACGTGGCCAGTTTCCCTCTTTTAATCCTTGGGGACAAGGATCCTCTCGAGGGGTGGGTATTGTCATGGTTGGAAGAGAAGGGCGAGAACACGAGGAAGAATTTGGGGAAGAAACACGAATGTTAGGGATTAAGCAAGAGAAATTAGGGATTAAGGCACTTAAGAAAGGGGCTAATGATTTACCTGAAGTGGAGCAGGCTGATTCAGATCAGACGTGGTTGGAGCAGGCCCAAGAAGAATGAGAGCACCCCAAGTCCACTAGACCAATATCTGCAGAAGAAGACAAATTATTAGGAGTTGTTATATTTTGTTAGAAAGGACAGCCAGCTGGCAATCCTTCGGTTATCATTGTAACTAAATAAATTGGCTGAGTAAATATTTTCCAGTATGTTAAGAATGAATAAGTTTTTCCTTCTCTAAATTCTCTCTATTCCTATTACCTACTTCTCAATTTCTCTTCTACTTACCTCGAACCATAACAAAATCCTCAAATATGCTAAATGCATAATGGAACATAAGATTTAGCACAAAATACATACATGGCGTGCATGCTGCTGATACCTTGAGAATTTTCCCTTTGATTTGTTTGTACTCTTTTGATTCTTCCTACCATTTCCCCATTGAATATGCACCAATGTTGCTTGAAGGATAAAAATATGTCAGAACTTGACCAATGTAAATTCAGCTCTCATTTATCTTTCAAGTGATGCAAGGTTTTTATTTTCTTTTTATAAATAAAAAAATGAGGTTAAACTCATATATGTTTTGCATGCATGCTTTTACTATTTCAGGTATGAAATGTATTTAGTCAAGGTTAATAAATTCGTTTTACTTCTTAACTCCTGTACACTTTAGATCCCTTTTGGGGGTTGGACCTTCACTTCTGTTTTCTACTGCAACTGCGGTTTGTATTTTAAGATGGGATGGAAAAGTGAGGACTGTACTCTCCATTTTTATGCCAAATACAGCCTTGAATTATTTTTCTCTTTTTACACCATTTTATTATATGAAAGATAACTCTCTGCAGGTCTCTTTTTAAACCATATTATGGAGTTACTAAGATGATCTTCTACTCTGCAGCTCTGCTTGGGGTTCTAAATGACCGGTTGTTGCTCGCTAACCCTACAGATATAAATCCAAGACAAAAGAAGGGGATTGAGATTAAGAGATGCCTTGTTGGGCTCCTCGAACCTCTTCTTATTCGTTTTGCTACCATGAAGCAAAATTTTGAGCAGAAGCTAGAGGTAAAACTTTCGAGATAATGTTATCAAGTTTTTTATTTCACGAGATAACGTACTCTCAAGATTAATTGCTCAAATAGGGCGAATTGCACAGTGTTGGCCGCAGGTCGCCATGCACTCCGGGCGACCTACGACGTGACATCTTCAAAACGATCAAAGATCGAATTAACGTCGCATGAATTAACGTCGCATGGGACATGCACAACCCAAAACATAGGTCGCCATGCCCTCCGGGCGACCAAGGAGGTCGCCATGCACGCCAGGCGACATGGTAGGTCGCCATGCACACCCCGCGACCTTGTCTTTGGCCCGACTCCCCGCTGCATGCTCGCCTGCTCCCCACTGCATGCTCGCCTTCTCCCGCTACTCCATGCACCTTTATTCACTGCATTATTGCAGCATAATTTTTGCTACTTCATGCAGCAATTATTGCTGCAATCCACGAGAATCAACGGCTCATGATTCTTCAATTATTGGTGCATGGCAGCCGACCCTTTAATATATAGGGGGTATGATATGGGGTTAAGGGAGCATAAGAAAGAAAGGGAGAAGAGTGTCGAGAGAAAGGAAAAGAATAAGAGGAAGAAGAAGAAAGGGAGTCCGACAAGCAAACATCGAGGTAAATTTTCATTTTATTTAATCTAAATTAGTTTATTATTTTAAATTATTAGTTTGTTAGTTTAGGGTTAGGGTAAAAATTTACTTAATTAGTTAGTTTGTTAGTAGTTAGTTATATATAAAAATATGTAATTAGTTTGTGTCAGTTAAATAGTTAAGTTGCCATATGATTTGTTGAATTTATATTATATAAAAAATTTAGTTAATTAGTTTTTTAGTAGTGAATTATAATTAAAAAATCGTTTATTAGTTTAAGTTATATTAAAGAATAGTTTATTAGTTGAAGTTATATTAAATAATAGTTTATTAGTTGTTTAAAGAAAATTCACGTTTAAGTTATATTTTAAAAAGTTTAGTTTGTTACTTTATAAGTTTATTATATTATAAGTTATT